AATACCTCATTCTCTTCAAACAACGATTAGACCTTGCATCGAAATATTAAGCGTGCTGCTAAGAGCAATAAATAATTTTTTATATCCCCAAAAAGAGCACGTGCTTATTGAGCAAATTGTGTCAGTAACATATTTTCAAAGTCAATGATTTCCATGAGGGATTTTCATTGCCACTTCGAACACAATAGTCGTTTAACATTGAAGTAAAAGTATATTTTATATTCTAAGCTGAAGAAGGCTAAATTGAGCGTTAAATTTTATCTATCTAGATTCTATAACTACTGTGTATTTATCTAAAAGATGACTACCAAAAGGGCCCTTTACATCGTCTTCTTATTAATGAACGTATAGCGATATACGAGATATTATTGGATGCTATGGATAAACATATCCGATAGCTGGAACGATGCGGAGACACTATTAATGTTCAAAAAAGGTGACCGAAAGAACTTAGAAAACTATAGACCTATAACATTACTAAGTGTTGTATTTAAACTACTAACGAAGATCATGACAAATAGACTAACAACTAAGCTTGACGAATACCAAGCAAGAGAACAAGCGGGATTCAGAAAGGGTTTTAGTACTAGCGACCATCTGGGACATTGGGCCATCAAAAACTCACTACAGAACGGCAGAATTGATTACAGGTACACGGACCTAATAACAAACATATACAAAAATGCGAGTACCACAATACAATTGACGAAACGTAACACGCTACAGAACCAATAAAATTCGATAGAGGAATCAGGCAGGGAGAACAATATCGTCAAAATTGTTAATCAGGCTCTAGGAGAATATTTCAAAAATTGAATGGGATAAATACGGAATAAGAATAAATGGAGAGCTCTTGAACCATTGAGAATGCAGCACGATATAGTCCTGATACAGATAGAAGGAAGAGTTAAGAAGATGGTTGAGGAACTAGATAAAAAAAGCGACTCAGGTAGGTCAGAGATGAACTATACTAAAACCAAGACTATGGACAACCACGAAGACCAATTAGAAATAGTAGTCAAACAGAACCTATTTTGGGAGATTATGCCTCGTGAAAATACATATACTAGATTTACTTGGTGCTATTTCGAATCCATTTTCTTTAAACCAGCTATTGGAGTAGTCGTCCATTTTTCCCAAAATTTGTATGCACTTGTCGTATGTTTTGGAAGATAAATATATAAGAAAATCATCGGCATATTGCATTATACTAAAACTCTTATTTACTATGGAAACATTGTGAAAATCAGATGTATATAGAGTAAATAATAAATGGCTCAAAACAGACCTTGTGAAAGTCCTAGATTGTTATATCGAGGATCTATAAGTTTATTGTTATTTGATCTCAAACAAATTTTTCTGCAAGTGTAAAAGTTGAGAATGGTTTTCACTAATGTAGCTGGTATATAAAATTTTCTAATCATTTTTTCCATAAGGATTTTCAGACATTACGTTATTATAAGCACCTTCTATGTCCAAACATATTGTAGGTAGGTATGTATTATTGAAAAATGTATCCTGAATGTCCGTTACTATCTGCAGCAAGAGCGTCTATAGTACCACATCCTTTTTTGTATCCAAATGAAGGTCCGGAAGTTAATTTCTTTTATCTACCACCATTTCCAGTCTAGTTTGATCATTCGTTCCAATGTTTTTAGTAAGCAAGTTCATCAGGGAAATGGGTCATGTATGAGTCAGATAATTGAGATTTTTACCTGGTTTGAGAATAGGAATAATAATACCTTTAAATTCGAATAATTAAATTATTGATAATTATGTCATTGAATATATCCAATAAAAATAGTTAGCAATTTTTGTAGAAAACTGAATATAGGATATTTCATATTATATAATCTGGGACTTGAATTATTTCTGTTTTTCAGTACATACTCTAATTCAGTATATTAAATGGTTCTAGTAAAAATTCGTTTTCGTTATTTGTAGAATGTATTGTAATTTCCCGTGGTTATAACAGATGGTGGTGTATTGTTCCAAAAATTCTTCCTCTAATGTTACTGTCAAAGCATTTTGCGTTCGATATTGGTTTTCTGTTTTTTTCCTGGCTTGATTCCATAAAGTTGTTGATGTAGTATTTTATTTAGGCGGAGACAAAATTTGTACAACTTTGTTTGGCTATTGCTTTTAGTTTTTTTTACGTTTGCTCTGGTCTCTTGACATTTCAAGTAATTTTCAAAATTCGAATTATGTTTTTATTATGAAAGGAATTCTTGCCTCTTACTTATGACTCTGTCGCAGTCTCTATTCCACCAAGGGGGAGGGTTTCGAGTTTTGGTTTTAATAAGGTTTATATAGTGGAATTGAAAATTTCTGGTGCTTAGTGATCTTTTAAGAAACTGTATTTTTCTGATATATTTTCCATTTGGTACCTGCTTATCAAAAATAATGTTCAACAGAAGATGCATATAAATACCAATTGGCCTTTTTATGTTCCACTTGCTTGCAGGATTAATTTTTCAATTTTACTCTTGCAATTCATTTCCATGTTGATGATAAAATGGTTTGAGAAAATAAACGTGCTGAATAATGCAACATATTACAGATAGAAACAATAAGTTTTAGTTGTTTTCACTCTTGGAGAAACAGTGACGACTATTAGACCGAAGTCTGTCTTATAGGTTTTGCACCTCTTCAGGATGTGGGTTTGTTTGTTTGTTTGGTTGATGTTTTCTTTCTCTTGCTGTGTGGGTTCTACGGGTGGTTGGTTTCGTGGATTTGTCGGCGGAGAAGCGTCCTGGACAATCAGAAGCGAAAGGGTTACTGGTTAACAGTCCTTTTCAGAATTTTTTTGCTATAAAATATGTTTATGATTAAGTGAATTTATATGTATGCAATTTGTTTTTAATAAATGTAGTGAATCGAGGATCGCGTGAGGGCAGCTGTGGCTGTATTGGACATGAGAAAAATAGAATCCTTAGGATTAGGTTATTACCGAAAAATTACTATACGTGCCTCCGAAGATACTGTTTCATAAGTATCAAACAGAAACCCGCCTTAAAGCCGAGAAAGATTTAATTCCATTTCATACACAGGATACAAAGGAAAAACCTTTCGACTCAGGAAATTCCGTACATTCAATAACATTTTGAAGATGGTAAACCGAACATGAGCGTATCATCACGGGGGTAAAAGGAATAAAAATAATTAATATTTTAATTATATAAAAAATGTTACAGCACTTAACCCGTTAATAATATCAAAATAAATCTGCATAGAAATTTTTGGTGTGAGAAAAAAAAAAATGTATGTAAAAAATTTGTACACAAGAAGTCAAAAAAATTCGTTAATATATTTTTTCAAGAATTTACTAGAAACCCTACAAACAACCAAATATATAAGCACTATATACTATTTTTATAACTACAAACTTTATCATAAAAGCAAATTTTGCATTTAAAAGAGAGAGAAACTCGCATGCTAATAGGTTTAAAAGGTATAGCAGTCTTAAACAAATCATCAACTCTACTTATTCCTACACATACTGTTCACAATTACTTTAAAATACCTATACTGAAAACAGGGTGCAAACTGTGAATACGTTTACTCTATTCTGTAGCGTGTTTAAGATATTATTTTTAGGCAACGATAGTGTAGGCGTTTACATAGCTATTACTCCTTTTGATTATTTAACAAAGAAATTGCATGTGGAGTATAAAAAAGATACAAAAATTGAGGTAAAAGCATTTTAAAATAACTCAAATAAAGATATAAAAGAGAACCAAATTTTATGTGCCGTAGCCAAAAATAATAATATTTGACTTACCTAACAGTAATTAATACCAGTGCCTTCAAAAATTGTACCATTGTACATGTAACACTGTAGAACCAAGAACCTAGAATTTGAAAAGGAAAAAATGGAAACTTGGAGGGATATCAAACGGTGAACACTGAGATTGATTTATTAAAATTTTAAGAAATATTTACAGAACATCCGAAGTTAACTAGTCTAGGTGGTATCTATTTTAAAGTACTTTTTGGTGGGCTAATTTTTTTTAAACAATTTATGAAAAAAGTGAGGAAAATTCAATGTTTTTTATCCTTTTCGTTACTATATCGGCAGCTATATATATAAAAAAACTGTAACGACAAAAATATTTACAATTATATTTCTCTTTATAGTCACACAAGATCGAGAGGAGTATGCCAGAATTGTTGTCAACATCCACTAATTGGATAGTTCACCATAAGAAGAAGAAGATGACACTACTGATACACATATAATAAACGCATTAGACAAAATAAAATATTTACTCGATCAACGAGGAATATAAAGAATGCAGACGATTATCCAGTCGAGTTTGAGCTTTCTTCATTGGAGTGTTTAGTGTTCGAATGGCTTGTCTGAGTGAATCCTTAAATTCTCACTATATCAGCTCGTCTTTGTAACACTCCTATACGTTCGTCTTCCAAATGTTTTGTTACTTTTTGTGTACAGGCAATTCTTTTCTCTAAAGCAAGCCTTCTACTTGCAAATCCCTTGCGGCATTGGTTTAGAATGTTATCTAGTGTTCAGTAGAGTTACCGATCTTTGTCTGGTAGCTTCTATCTTCTTCTAAAAGAGTTTCGCGTGTAAAATGTGCCCAATACTCAGGAGTAGATTGTTCATCTGGAAAACGAACGGCTCCAGGCTTAAACATCCAATACGTAATTTGTTATTTAAAGCCATATTATAGAATCTTATTTTATGGGAAACTTTTTTATCGTTCCAATCGTATCCAGACGTTGTTTCGCAGTTTTGTTTTCCAACAGTTGTTTTTCCACATCTTTTAGCGTTATAGAAAATATATTTCTAATTTATACACATAAAGCTACTTCCTCAATGAGTTTTTCTTCAACTTCGTCCCGAACCAATTGCCCATCGATTCTACCGGTTCTTCTCTTCAGTGCCTTACCAGCGATAGCCTCCTTTTAAATATCATTATATCAATATACTACAACTTACAATTTTTGTGTATTTATTTTGTTTAACTGAATTACTGATAATGGCCGAATACCCAACAAGGCATTGTGGTCCTTGTCCCCAATTTAGCTCAATTTGTGTCGCGAGAAGAAGCTGCCATTACGAGCAGAAAACAGTTCCAAATATTGAATTTCACGAATTTCAAAGATCGGATGAGCCTGGTTTGGGAACAAATACGTCGAATCTTAAGCCAGATTTACGGTATCTCCCGTTAAAGAAGTGCACTTTGAAAATAAGAATCAGAGAATAGGTAATGGATATGTGGGAGGTATTCCTGAATGTGAAAGGTCGAAACAAGAAGCCTGTCACTGTTGTACTAATAAAAATGGTACTGAGAAAAAGGAAACTTTAAACAGGTATCCTCAAAAAAGATTCAGGTCCTAAAACAGTCGAGGAAATATCTGCAGATGCAGCAAAAGCTTAAGAACAACAGCTTTTTGTTAGTCACGTAACACAACGTTCTGCTCACATTGAAGAAAAATCTAATCCTGCATGTTATTTACCTCAACCAAACCATTCCATACTCATATTCTGGCTACCTATAGGACCGTGGGCTACTGGTATAGTTGATTGGGTCTTTTATCTGGATTGACAGGTACAAGACCCGTCGTAGACAAGTATTCAATAGCTAGATACAGCGAAATTGATTAGAGACTCAAAAATAAAAAATACTAGATCTAGCTACAAAAGAGTAGCATAGAGCTTAATTGACTGGAATAGTCAATCAATGTCTCGCTCAAACATTAAAAGATGCAAACAAAACTCAAGCAGACAATACAAAAAAGTTAAACCAACGGGAACTGGAGCCTCATCGATGGAAGTGCGAACTGGAAAAAAGCTATTGCAGCAGCATCTGAGGAAATTACTTTTATGGAAGAGCAAAGGCATAGACTAAAGCAAGCTAGCAAAGTACTTACTCTTCCGGAGTCTATCGCTGGTAAGGCACTGGAGAGAAGAACCGGTAAAATCGATGGGCAATTGGTTCGGGAGGAAGTTGAAAAATAACTCATTAAGGAAGTAGCTTTATGCGCAGAAATTAGAGATATATTTTTTAGAACGCTAAAAGATGTGGAAAAAACAAACTGTTGGAAAACAAAAACTGCGAAACAACGTCTGGAATACGATTGGAGCGATAAAAAAGTTTCCCATGAAATAGATTCTATTAATATGGCTTTAAATAACAAATCTACGGTATTGATGTTTAAGATTGGAACCGTTCGTTTTCCAGATGAACAATCTACTCCTGATTATTGGGAGCATTTTACACGCGAAACTCTTTTAGAAGAAGATGCTACCAGACAAAGATCGGTAATTCTACGGGGAACACTAGATTACATAAAAGAATGCATTACAATATCGTAACAACATATAAACAGAGTGAATGATAATTGACCAATAAATCGAATACTAAATTACAAACCTAAAAAAATAAAGAAGTGTACGATATTATAGAAATCATGGACCAAAGCTTCATGCCAAAACCTATAACCTATAAGTATGTAAACTCAATAATGAAGAAGAAAAAGAATACATTATAATACAAAATACAAAAAGTTAAATATCGACTTTATTGTACTTCCTAAAAAATCATTAAATTTTAAATTATTTATTTTGCTTCTCACATTCGTATGCACACGTTTATTTTCACATGCAGGCGTACAAAAAAATATCACGATTAATCCTTACAATTTTCAAAACACACTTCGGTAAGTGATTACATTGCCGAGCTTATTTCATTTGAACTTATGGTATTGAATGTAAGCTACCAAATAAAAATTAGTTTGCGAACAGTTTATCCGCCCGAACTTTTATACCAATTAATAAGTTAAGAAACTTTCGTAACGCTTTCGAATTTCACGAAGGAAAAAGGAAGAGGGAAATACAGTTGAATGTCACGTGAAACAGTGCACATGTCCACTCACACAGAATGGCTTTAACGTGTGTCTGTTGCGTGATAGAAAAATTTCCCCGTCACTTCTTTTATTTCGTAATGGTTTTTTAATATACGAGATTGTACGATGTGATTTTCTCAGCATGCATAGAGGTTAAGGTTCATGATAAATCGTTTACCTGTCTCATTGATGTACGCGTGTCATTATTAGATTCATTTGCTCTTGTAGAACTATGTGCTCTTACCCCAAGATTAGTTACCTCTAGTTCTCCAACTTATGTTAAGAATTATCTTTTTTAAGATAAAACTTAGCAATGAAACAGTATGCTGTCCCCGCTATTGTTTTATTTTATATACAGTTCGAATATTTAAACGTACTTTGTACAGCTTGGAATATGGTATAAAAATTAATGGAAACTTAATAAATACATTTAGATACGCAGATGGCATAGTTATATTGAGCAATGACTTGAAGCAATGAATATATTGAGCAATGAACGAATAACTAAGAAATTACAGTATCTTCTAGTACAATTCATGAAAAAAACCTCAAAGAAAGTGGACGTGGCTATCCCCAGATGGAAACACTCGAAACAGTTCAGTAATGAAACAGATGTAACAGTAATAAATTACTGCGTCATAGTACGTAGCGATTACGAATGGTTAGAGCCAAATTAGAGATAAAACATAATAAAAATAGAAATAAATTTAGAAAAACTTGGAATATAGACACAAAATCATTTAAAATCTAATACAGAACAATATTATAAAAGCAAGTTAAAAACCCGCAAAAGTATTCAATCTAGATAAACTTGGCTTAAATAAAATCAATAAAGTCATAGAGAAAGTCATAGAGAAAGACCGTATGGAACAAGTCCATAGAGAAAAAACGAAAGAAAAACTTAATAACCATTAAAAATGAACAAGGACAACTAGAAAAAAGTAAATCTGATATAGCAAACTCAATTGAAAAGTTCTATGCCGATATGTATCGTTTCAGAAACGATCCCCCTAACTGCTCAAAGTAGAACTTGAAAAGGCAGATAACAAATGTCAACTCAGAAGTGATGCTCGAAATAAGCCACGAAGAAATAGAAAGAGCAGTAAAAGAAATAAAAAGGAATAAAGCTGCTGGAAGCGATGGCATACATAGCAGAAATGCTGAAGGAAGGCGGAGAAAAAATGCCATCACATATTAAAAATACTATTTAATAAATGTCTATTCCAAGGCAACATTACCGAACAATGGAATACTGCTAAAACAATACTAATACACAAAAAGGGAGATACCACAGACCTAAAAAATTATCGTCCAATTTCACCTTTTTTACAACTTTAAAAAACCTTTATTTATTTATTTTTACGCACAACAGGCCGTTAAGGCCTAGGGCATTTTTTTACAACATAATCCTAATATTAACCAATTACAATTATTTTAAACAAAACTTTAACTTAAATATGTATATACAACATTTTTAACTACTCTGAAGGACCTGGTGTACAATATTTCTCCATTCGCTTCTATTTTGTGCTTTTCTTTTTCAGTCCCTCACCTTCACGTGATTAAGGTCTTCCTCTACTTTACTAATCCACCTCATTCTGGGTCTACCTCTTCTTTTGGGGTCGATTAATTTTCGGTTATTACTAGTTTAGGCATTCTGTTTGCTGCCATTCTTTCCACATGTCCCAACCATCTGATTCTTTGTGCCTTGACGAACTTGGTAATGGTAGGTTCTTTGTATATTCATTTTGGTTCTTCTCTCCCAACCATCTCTTGTCTTATGTCCTCCGAATATACGTCTCAATATTTTCCTCTTCCTTTTTATTTAATGTCCATGTCTCACCGGCATATGTTACTGTGTTACTGTTTATATATTCTGAGTTTACCTTGTCTAGACACGTATTTTGAGTTAAGTAGGGCTCTTAAACTACCTAATTTTTTATTCCCTTTTGCTATTCTGGCTTCGAGCTCCCATTTATCTTTTTCATTTTTATCGAAAACTACACCCCAGATATTCAAATTTGTCCACCCTTTTAAAACTATAGCATTTACTACTTACAGACCTCACACTAATGTCTTCTTTTTTCCCTTCTGTCCATCCCATGATCATATATTTGGTTTTATCTTCATTTAATTCCAATCTGAATTTCTGTGCTTCTTCGATGATTTTCTTCACACCCTTCTTAATTCTTTCTCGGTTTTTGCTAGGATCGTTAGATCGTCAGCAAATGCCAAGCACTGGTGCTCATTTTTCATGATCGTTTCTTCCACCTTCATGCTGCATTTTTCTGATTACAGTTTATAACACTAAGTTGAATAATGTAGTGGATAAAGGATCTCCCTGTCTGAAGCCTTTTGCAACCGTAAATTGATCTGATATGTGATCCTGCCAAGCAATTTCACACGTAGAGTTATTTAGTGTCATTATAACTAGCCGGATCAGCTTCTTTGATGTACCCAAATGTTCCATTGCTCGATACATTTTGACTCTATCGACTCTATCATATGCTTACTCTTACAGGGGAACTTTACCTTCATAACAAGTCGTTTATATCTCCTTTAATGAGAAGATTTGGTCTACAGTAGATCTGTCCTTTCTAATGCCGGCCTGATATTTATGCAGGATTCTTTCCGTGTAGCAATTTAGTTTATTTCTCAATATTATTTCGAAGATTTTTGTATACCGTGTCTAGTAAGGCTATAGTTCTATAGTTGGCACACTTCAGTTTGTCTTCTTTTTTATGCAGAGGGCACATGCGGGCCTTATACCACTCGATCTCAATATTTCCTTTTCCCATACTTGCACAAGTAGCTGATATATTTTTCTTTGCAGTTGTTCTCCACCAAACTTGATCATTTCTATGCATATGTTATTTTTACCAGGATTTCTGTTATTTTTCATTTCTTGTATTGCTGTCACCACCTTCTCCTCTGTAGGCTGCCTTTCAACTATCGTATCTTCTCCATCTGTCCAGTTGTCTACTGCTTCGTGGTCCACCTCACCATTTAATAATTCTTCAAAATGTTTTTTCTATTCCGTCATTATTTCTGCGGATCGCTAATTAAATTTCCGTCTTTACCTTTCATATAACTACAGTAGCTTTGGTAACCTTTTCCCATCTTTTTAACTTCTTGATAGAATGACCTCACCTCTCACCTCTTTGTTTTTAAATTTCTCTTCAATCTCTTTTAATTTTAACTCATTGTGGTATTCTCTTTTCCTCGAATTATTCTATATTCTTGTTTTTTACACTCACTATTATCTGTTAATATTTTTTGTCTGATCTTCTTATTTTCCTTTGCTATCTTCTGACACTCTTCGTCAAACCAATCTTTCTTTGTACTTCTCTTGAAGTCG